AGACCAGAAGGCGAGAGACTTTTCCGGGACACATTTGACGTCGAACAGTTGAGCCAGCTCATTGACGTAGCGACGATCGAAGAGTTCCGTTACGCTTGTCACGGTTCAGCTGATGTTGTCTTGATGTGGCCATACACTGACAAACGGAAAACCAAACGGAGTTTTATCAAATATACTAAAGTGTACGAGTACATGAGAGTGTTAGTGAAAAACGTGACAAGGATTTCACTTCCCAAAGTAACCAGTATTCCAGAATCGAAAGAAGCGAGTCTGCAATTATACCGTTCTTCTAAAAATTTCAAATGCGTGGTAATGTACAACACCAACGATTTCCTGCAAGAGGAGCTAAAAAGCGAACATGAGGCTTACACAATGATTGAAATTGCAAGTTACCTGAAAAAATCACGTCATATCCGGTACGCCGTTGATAGGGCGATGACAAAATTCTGCAATGGTGGGTCGTATGCAGCCATTCACTGGCGAAACAAGACAGGGGAATCGTATGTACAACACAGTATTTTATTTTTATTTCATTTTATTTGTAGTCCTTCCAACAGATAAAAAAACAATTATGAAGGGACATTTGAGACAATCAATATATGAAAAACACAATCTCTTTAAAAAAATAACACAAAGTCAGAACATAAACTAGACAAATTAATGTAAATTTTGTTGAATATTTTTTTTTTAAAGTGAAGATGGTAAAAACAATAGAATTGTCAATGTTCTTAAAAATCCCCAATGCACACATGGTAGAAAAAAAAGATTTTTTATTAACACGCGAAAAGCCCGATCCTTTCTGAGAACCCACTCTGGAACATAAAAAAGAATTTCTCCCATAATATATACGCTGTGTCGTATTCTCGGGAAAACAACCGGTGAAAACAAAATATATTTTCGACTAGTTATTGAGACTTTTTAAACAGTGTAATAAGATTGTCCCTACATGTGCAACATATATGAACGTGGTTGTTCAGGATTGTGTCACAGCCGAGGTTGTGCTGTTTCCTCGACCTTGGCTGTTTTCACTGTTTTCCCCAAAAAGCCCATATAAATACATGGTACAGCGATGCGAGTCTTAACAACATAGAACGTTCTAAACAAAATATTTATTACGTTAGAAATAGAGTGCGTGATTTAAGGATAATGATGAATGTATGCATATATATATATATATATATATATATATATATATATATATATATATATATATATATATATATATATATATATATATATATATATATATATATATATTGAAGTGGACTGATATTTGATAAATTTAATTTGTACGCGTTCAGGCAAGTTGTTTTCCGCGACAGTGTACCATGCATGAGAGGAGTACTGCGTGTTACTGCGCACAACAGAATACTGCAGGGATATTAAAACCTTAACATCACCAAAAAGAACATATACGCGCTTAATTGGACCCAGTAATGGCGTTGGTATCAATAACACAAATGCGCATACTAATATTAGGACTTTAAAATAGTATGAT